GTAGTTAATATATTGCGCCTTGTTAACTATAGTTAAATATGTTTTGTAGTACTGATAATGTACGGAAAAAAATATAGTTTCATCCTTCAAATTTGCATTGATTTCACATTTGGTCCCTTATGTCACGGAAAACACATTCAGTCCCCCATGTTAAAAAATGCAACACTTTTAGTATTTTCCGTCATTTTTTTGTTAAAACTAACGGAATCAAGTGTGTGCACATTACTGAATTAACTGACGGACTAACGGTAAATTGACGGAAAGGGACAAAAATGTTAATTATTGAAATATGAGGGATCAAATATATTTTTTGTGAACATTAGGGACCAAATATGAAATCATTGCAAACTTGAGGGGTTAAAAACTATAATTTTCCAAATAAAGTACACTAGCTAGTAGGCGTTACATTGGTTTTCTCACGTGAACAAAAACGGTGTCGTATGGAATATTCGACGCTATTGAATTGATTTATTCGTCGAGGCAGTCTCGAGTATCTGCATTTGCCGGGCAAAAAGCAGAAAAAGGGGGAAAATAGAAAAGGAAGAAGAAGAAGAAGCTGAAAAAATGCAGGATGATTCCCCGACGAGCCGCGGCGGCGGCGGCGATCGTCCGACGGTGATGGTAACGAACGACGATGGAATCGACGCCCCAGGCCTCCGAGCTCTCGTTCACGTTCTCGTCTCTTCCAATCGGTTCCACGTCTTAGTTTGCGCTCCTGATTCGTACGTATATTTATACGCATAAATAATATAGATTTCTCGATGTATCGTTTTTCAGCGTTTCGCATTTAATCCATTGTTTTTATCAGTATTCACGGGGGGGAAATTGTATAGAATGCTGGGGTTAACGATTCAGTCGATGTTTCACTTAATTTGTGTTCCCATTTTATCCCTCGTAGAATCACCCGTACGCGATTATATATGTATACATTGTTTATCTCTGCAGTTGATTGCGTACAGACAGTGCAGAGATTTTGAATTTTGTTTTTGTTTTTCGTTTCCTAGTGAAGATACAGATTCGTTATATGAATGTAATAATGTGGAACAAGTATCTAAATGCACCATGGATGGTTCATGAAGCTGAATCGTTTGCAATAAAGGCATTCATAGGAAAAGTTTCATGTGAAGGGTTTTTCTCTCTCTAACATTTATATTAATACTTTTCAGTGAGAAGTCAGCTGTTGGTCACAGTATCACTTGGCGAAACGCAATCTCTGCCAAGAAAGTGGATATCAGTGGAGCAACTGCTTTTGCCGTTTCCGGTTAGTTGCAATGTTCTCTCCAACTGTGTGTATTACAATACGAACAGATATGGGAATACTTTGTGGATTATCGATTAGTTATTTGGATTGTCTTTTTTTGTATGGAGACTTCTGATGCTACACTTGGCATTTTTGTGATATTGTTATTGCACCTTTAGTTATAACATTGTTATCTAAAATGTAACTGTTTTTGCAGGAACTCCTGCTGACTGTACATCTTTGGGAATTTCGAAAGCCCTATTCCCCTCAGTACCTGATCTGGTACTTACACTGTCAGCAGCTTTGTACCATTTATAGTGTGTATTTTTCTTTAGCCCCTTTCCTCAGATTTTCAAACATCTCTCCCCTTCTTCCACAATGTCCAAACAAATGGATAAAATGTATCTTCTCCCTCATAATGTGATCAAATAGAGCTGCCTCTGCTGTGCATTTCATTTATTCACTTTATCTATATATGATCATATATATATATGTATATGTGTGTGTCTGTGTATCCATCTATCTATCTATATCGCAACAAGAATAATTAGCTCTCGCCTATGATCCTTCATGAAAGGCTAAATGCATTTATTTGAACTAGAGGGCTATGCATCTTGGTGTCTGAATGACTTCACTAAGAACAGTTGCTGACATATTTTCACTTTCCATCCTTTTTTGCAGGTAATAAGTGGAATTAATAAGGGTAGCAACTGCGGTTATCACATGTTAGTAGTATTATCTATATGCGACTTCTTTATCCTTTTTTATGGTTAGCTTTTGAATATAGAGATAGCCCCAAAGCTGTCTGCATGTAGTTTCTTTCTGTATTAAAGTGAAGTAATGTGAATAAGGGGTCATTCTGAAACCTATGTGTAAGTGCAAACTGAATGAGACTTGAATATTATTCTAGTGTCAAGCTTTACGACTGCATTCTTTTGAAATGTGATCTATCAGTTCGATCCTACAATGACTTTATATATTGATCAATGCAGTATTTACTCAGGGACCGTAGCAGGGGCTCGGGAAGCTTTTTTTAATGAAGTGCCTTCTGTCTCTCTATCATATGACTGGTATGCAGAACACGTCTCTTGAAAATTATGTTATACTGATTCTAGCTAAGGTGTGGTTTCAGTGGACCTATTTAATGTAAATGAGTTTCTTAACTAATTCCCCTTTGACGTGCAATAATTGAAAGAGCTCCACCCTTATGATATGCATCTTACAATTGGACCATTGGAGAACTTAAGAGTTTTACTTAACACTATTTTTGACTTGCAGGGTTGGTGGGAGAAGTAATGTCAATGATTTCACACTAGCAGCAGAGGCTTCCTTGCCAATAATTTGTGCCGTATTGGCTGATATCCAGAAGAAAACTTATCCTCGAAACTGTTTTGTTAATGTCGATTTCCCAACAGATATCGTGAATAATAAGGTAATGTGGGCAGATCTCTTTTGACTTGAGTGATTAGAATAAGATATTGGCATCAGCGTAAAAATCTTGAGCCCAGTTTGCTCTGAATACATACATGGTGGATATTAACGTTATATATCCCTAATACTTTTGGTTCCTACCAATGCTGATGCTACATTTATGCAACTTAGTTATTTCCTCCATTCTCACTTCCTTTATTCCCATGTGATAGTAAAAAATTATACATGCCTGTTTTCTTGCTTTTAATTTGAGTTCATTGAAATAAGAAGTTGATTGCGAAATTTTCTTCATCTTTGAATAGGGTTACCGGCTGACAAAGCAGGGGAAGAGTATTGTGAAAATGGGCTGGACGCAAGTTACTTCTGAAGCTGAAGGAGGGAAAATGTTATCAACGATGGAAATGGAGACAAGTGCATCATTAGATTCTGAAACAGATTCTTCAAGTGCAAAACACCAAAACCTTCTATTCAAGAGAGAAGTATTACTGATTCTCCTCCTTCTGCTTTAACATACTTCAGTATTGCTCTTTCGTATGCATTTTCATTAAAAACTGTGTAGTATCTAATTGCTTTTCAATTGCTTGTTTGTTGATTTACACAATACTTCGCCTGTTTGCCGTTAATTACTTTACTAGTTTACTCTCGAGTCTTGGTTATTGTGGACGAAATTGCTCGTCAAATATCGCTTTTAACTCGTTGCGGCTCGCCTTCATTTTTGTTTCCACCTTAATCCCATTTGTAGTAATTTTTTCTGTCACTATTGAGACTAACCTCAAAACTAAAAAACTAATGTTATACTATGAAGAATATTTTCTCATTTTTATGGTGTAATAGTAATTATCTCCGTGCCCTTTTGTAGGTAAGGGGATCACAAGTGGAAGAGGGTGACACAGACTACTGCTCACTTCAAGAAGGATATGTTAGTCGAAATATATCGTTTTACAATGTGAGAATGACGCAGGTCCATGATTAATTCATCACCTTTTTTTTCTTTTTTTTTTTTTAATTGCAGATAACCGTCACTCCTTTAGGTGTCTTGTCTCCTGCAGACATAGACAGTCGAGACTACTTTAAACAATGGCTGCCAGGTGTAGCCAAATGCTTCTCTTCTGCCCTTTAAAGACTTAAGTTCTTCCCGTTTCTGGTAAGATCTGCTAGTCTTTAATCTGGGTTCATTTCTATTGCAGTTTTAATTTTGTCAACAATATAACTCTGAGCTTAGATGTATCTCTCTTAGTTTTATTCAATAAGTCCCTATTCGGAACAGTTTTTTAAAATCATTCGGAAAATGTCAATGATCTGACTGAAATACGTCCAAACAGTTTTAATGTGTGAGATATTATAATTTATAACACTACATATGTAAAAGCTTCGATTTTAGCACCTCTTCCTTCATGTATTTTGAGGATCAGCACTTAATTTCGCTCTTCGTAATTCGCCTCGTATCTCTCTATAAGTGTATAAATAGTGTACTGGACAATCTTCTACCTTTTAGACTTGGTCAGCTATTTCCTAGTCCTTGTCTGATTATGAGTGCCCAAACATGAATTTTACTAATACAGTGCCTTTAATTTGAGACTTATACAGAACATACATAAGAGTTTAGGTTGCTCTGGCCCGGGCATTGAGATTATCAGAAAATTAGTAACTTCGATTCGATTCTCGAGAATTTTTCTTTTGGCTATAGGTTCCCATTTGATTTTTTTTTTTTTTTTCAGAGTGCAAACATTTTGATTATATTATGTCCCTTTAAGAGGTATCATCATGCACTCGATTCTATTCGTGGGGTGAATCCTGACTTGCCATAAATTTGTAGAACAATTACATCATATAGCGATGAATAAATTTCCGGACAAATTGGATTTTCCTCGGAAATTTTTCTTTTGAATGTGAGTAAGGATCCCCTTAGACAGGAAACTATCTTATTAGATGGTAATAACTAATATATATGTCTCTACAAAGGTGTAAAATTAAGTTAAGGACAGCGACAAAAGTACAAGAGACAAATTTCTGGTCTGAGTTGTTGTTATGTGTTTATGACAGTCTTAATTAGTTCCAGCAGTTGTTGAGCATTGTTGTGTCTAATCAAATTCTGGCATTTCATGCTATAGTTCTTGATTTTTTTTTCAAGAAACAATCGGAGTGTAGGTGGTTAGGCACCGCCTCACAATTGATCGGCCCGGTTTTTATTAATCGGCTATAGGTTGAAAGTTAATCGAATTTTCATATTTAATGTAATATACCGCATCAGAAACCGATTAATCGACTGCTTTGAATACTTGATTTTTTTTTTTGTAAAAATGCTCATAAAATTTAATAAAGATATTCATTAAGACATACCCCACAAGCCCACCAAAAGAACAATAATGAGATAGTTACTATTTTGCATAATTGGTTGAAATTAAATATATATAAAATGGTAGTGATGAATCCATGATATTATGAAGACAAAAATTAGTGACCATACAATATGTGGGAAGGGGGGTGGTGGAGGTTCAAAATTGCAATCATTTTTTTTTTCAAAAAGTAGTTGACTGTCAATTCAATTTGAGTACACTTGCCACGAGCTAGAAGTCTTCCATTTGGATGAATATAAATCCTATTCTGGATTTTAGCCATATATTGCTATTTGCACATTTGACATTTTCAAAACAGTTACATACATCTCTAATAAAATATTTAAAAATGAAATAGTTATCCTCTATATACTTAAGCTGAATTACACCTGACATTTATCTACACACAAAAATATAGATGCTTGTTTGTGTTAGCGTGTGTTTAAATAAATGATTACCATTTAACCGATATTCACTTTGCATGTGTAGGCAGGGGCGGAACCAGACATTTTAGTAGGGGGGGATGATTTTTTCTTTCTAAAGAATAGATTCAAAGTTTCGGGGGTTTAGGGTAGTGCCCTCGAATTATTTTTTCGGAATTATATTTATATATTCTATCTAAAAAGTATAAATATAAGTAGTATTATTGATATTTTGTATTAACAAAAAAAATATCTAAATTTATATAAAAGAATAGAGAATGAAAAAACTTTGGGGGTGGGGTCGAAGTTGATTTTTTTTTTTTACTTGGGGGTGGCTGCCCCTCCCCCTTCATTGGGAAGGAGAAAAGTAGAAACATTCCGAATAGGGGCAGACAAAAGAAGTACGGTGTATATTTTCAGAGAAACCAAAAATAGGCGGTTCAAAATCCCACGACTTTTCTTTCGCTGTACATATAACTTCATATTACAATTTACTGTTCTGACCATTTTGCCCCCCCATAAACTCCGCTATTAACTTTTATTATTTATTTTAAAAAAATTATTTTATTTTGTACTCTTAATATTGAATAAGGTAAATAATGCAATTAATAATTCTTTATTTGTTGCTATATAATTTTTCAAATAAATGTTTTTCATTTAATTTCTTCATTGTATGTTAATGTAATGTCCAACTGCTACCCTCCTATACTATTATGGAATCCGTTTATTGAAAAATTCATTATGTATTGAATTGTATTGATTATTGCTCCCCACATATATTCACATAATATATATATATAACATGCTAAGAAAATTAATCTCTATTTACAAATCTTAGTTTTTTAATTAAAAAAAAACTAATATATATATTCATACAATATTATTTTCAATGTTTTATGAAGATTTTTATTTTCAAAAATATACTTTATCATATATATATATATAAGAGGCAAAGATACACGGGCTCTTTACAATTCACTCTTTCTGATCACTATCTAAAAAACACACAGTGGCAACTTAATTAATTACAAGGCTGAAAGAAAAGAGTTTGTGAGTGCAGGGTTTGAAAATGCTTGTCTGAAAAAGAAGAGTATAGTGTACGTGGTTTCCTCTTTGTTGTTTTCTAGAGAGATAAACGTACATTTAAATCACACACTACACACAGTGGGTTTGTTCTTAGAAGTATTAGTGCTGTTTCAACAATGGTGAAGAAGAAAGAAGACGATCAGAATGATAAAGAGATGATCAGAGCTCATCATGAATCCGTACTTGACCTTCTCAACAAACAAGCTCCACTCTCTCCCAAACAGGTTTTAATTTAATTTAATTTTAATTTTATTTTTCTCACACACTTTCACCTTCCACTGCGTGTTCAACATTATGTATCTATATATATATATATATATATATATATATATATATATACATGTGGGCTGCAATTTGAACATATAATTTGACAGGAGAAATTCTGCAATGAAGCTTGTGTGGAAAGGTATCTGAAAGCCAAAGGGTATAGTGTGAAAAAAGCAGCCAAGAATCTCAGGAATTGTCTTTCTTGGAGAGACTCTTTCGGCACCGGTAATTTTTTTATTTTTATTTTCGATCTTATTTTCACGTTACCGTTTTGAATTTTAAAAAAATCATTGAATAATGTTTGTTTGAATTTTATGAAGATAAATTAATGGCTGATGAATTCTGCGGTGAGCTTGCGGAAGGAGTTGCGTATGTTGCTGGTCACGACGATGAATCAAGGCCCGTCGTGGTAAATTTTTATTTATTTTATAAAGTAATTTAAGACAGTAAAAAATAATTTGCTAATTATTTACTGTGGTAATAAACTGCAGATTTTACGAATCAAGCACGATTACCAGAAATTCCATTCGCATAAACTGTAAGCACATAATTTTATCTATATATGTTGCAATGGCTAGTTAGCATAACTTATAAGGCCAAGGGCCGGGGGGCCATGGCCCCCGGCCCTTAGAAAATATTTAGTGTACGCGAAGATAAAATTATGGCTTCATAACTCATATGTGTTTTCTTGTAGATTTACTCGGTTGTTAGTGTTTACACTTGAAGTGGCTATTCAAACTATGGCAAAAAATGTGCAACAATTCGTTCTTCTGTTTGATGCCGGTAAGTTTACTTCAATTTCCTACTTATTTCGATTCACGTGTGTTCGATAAATTTGATTAGTAGTAACTAGTAATTAATTACCTAATCAAGTACTGGTAATACAAAAAACTGTCGGAAAACAAGCGGACCCTGTCCGAAACTTATCAGAAATTGCCCGGAATACCCTTGAGATGCCAGTCAGATTTGTGGGTGTAGGGGTATATATGTCTTTTTGCTAGATGAATTGTTATAAAGCAAAAGTGACCATAATTCCCATTTTACATTTATTTGAATTTTCTACAAAATAGATTAAATTAAATTCTTTGATAATTTAATTGTTTTAAAAAAAAATGCAGGCTTTTTTCGATCAGCGTCTGCGTTTATGAACATGTTGCTGGCAACACTGAAGATCATAAGTGATTATTATCCTCAAATGCTTCACAAGGCTTTTGTCATTGATCCTCCATCTCTCTTCTCTTACCTTTGGAAGGTATATATATATCCTCAATAGTTTATATTCTAATTTATTTTTTTCAATAATTAATTTGAGAATAAATTATATCCAATAATTTCATCAAATTATACTGCGAATCAAATTGTAGGGAGTGAAGCCATTCGTCGAGCTTTCATCATCGACAAGCGTGGTATCATCGTTCGACTTTCAAGATTCCCTCCGTTTTAGTGACATGATGACGACATCAACTTCGTCCCGTTTTAATGCTTCATCTCAAATTGAATCTTGCTACTCATCGAGATTTTCGTTCACCGTCTCGAATAATTTCGATTCACTAAAGCCTTGGTATCTTTCACTATCCAACACATCCAAATCCAAATTATGCCAAACAAATCCCTTTTCAAGCCCAAGTATATCGAGTACTAGTACCCCCAACGCCACGTCATCATCCTCCTCCTTAGCACCGCGAACGCCACGTGGCAACATCGATGCCGTTTGTAAGAAGGGAATATTCTTTCCCGTCAACACCGAGAACTCCAAACCCTACATCGTCGTTTTTCCAGTCTCCGGCTTTTTTCTTCCGGAAGGAGCGGCAAACTAATCGAGTGGAGAAATCGCGCGATTTATTTTTACCATTTTTGAAGTTCTATCAACGGCCGTACGACGAGATGGTTTATAGGTCGAAGATGAGGGCCCCTCTAGGCGGGCTCGTCTCCATTGTCTCTCCGCAAATCAAACGGAGACACGTGTCGCTCTCTCAACGATTTTGATCTAAATAGAAATGTAATATTCATTACATAATTGTGATATTGATCAAGTGATGCTCTCCTCACTAATTATTAATATTAATAATATTAATAATTGAATAGATGTAACAACTTATTGGTCAATGGTGCAAATAAATTTCTTGTTTGGAGGTTTTGGTTTTTGAATTTATCAGTAGTTTATGAAAAAAATAAAAAATATTTTTTGAGATTCAATAATCAAAATTTAATCTTTAATCATATAATTTATTTTATTTCCAATTATTTTCAGAAGCAAATAAAAATAATTAATTGAAAGGGGACATTTAATTGGTAAGCGTAGTGGCATGATAGTGAAGATACTGAATACAGTTGGATATAAAGATAGAAAGGCCTGTAAAGCTGCCTACTTTTATTGCAAACAGCTTTCATTTAATACTTTTCTTGCTTGCCCACAAAATAATAAATAAATTAAATAAAAAATAATAAATAAAAAGCATTATGATTGAGACAATAAAGTTTGTTATAACAAAAACATGAGAGAATTGCCATTAATTCTGGACATGTTTTGTCTGTTATAAAACTAACTTTTTGACCTTTGAAATTTTGACAACAGTTTGGTGTAAGAAATTATTATAAATAACTTAAACAGCAGACCAAAAGTTTTTATTTTTAATTTCAGAATTTATTTGTTGGGGTGGGTGATTAGTCGATTTACAGTATGTATAGGTGGAAATTATGATAAAAAATTTGTTGTGTCAACATGTTTATGATTTTTTTATTTTATTTTTACTAGTAACAATATTTTTAGTGTAAATTACGGCCATCCCCAGATGTACACTCAAATTACGAAAAAACCCTTTATGTTTGTGTAATTATAACCACAGCCTCTCAGTTATGAATTTTCTCACACGCCCACCCTACGGTGTCAAATTTAGTGGAATCTTCAAGATTATGCGAAATATTTTTCAGTTTGTACCCGTTTTACCCCATTTGAGCTCCACATTTTGAAACAAGATGATCGTAAGGTGTCTGTTGGCTTGTAAATATTTGATTATTGTGCATCAGAAACTGCATTTTTGCACAAAACAAATACAAATTAGAGAACAATCTACGAAATCTAGAAGATTCATAATTGAAGGGTAATTATAATTAACCAAACAATAGGGAATTTTTTTCGTAATTTAACTTTACCCCATGGAGTTGCGGTAATTTACCCAAAAATTTTAAATCTTGATTATTGTTGATATAACCGGAATACCACCAACATAATCAATTTCATGAAATTAGGTATGACACTAACAGTAGAACCTCAATAAATTCTTACAACTAATAATTTATAGTGGTCCCTACTCGGTGAAAACGTACTAAATCATTAGTTCGATAATTTAATATTCTAAATCAATAGAAGTTTGATACTGCCGGTTGTATTAATTTATAGAGAATTAATTTATAGAGAATTAACTGAATATTGTGATTTCGATTCAAAATGTTCTAACATAAACTACTCAACGACTTTAACAAAAACTAATCATTTTCCTTGGATCCTACCTTCTTTATTTATTTATTATTATTATTTTATCCCACAAAAGTTGTTAATGAAAATTATCATTATTTTGTTTGGCAGCACGCTTTTCATTTGTGTTATTAACACGCATCATACACATGGAGAAGGGATGTTTGTGCAAGTGTTTTATTTATTTATTTAATTATTAGTATTATAATATATTATAAATTAACTTTGTTTTCTTGAAGCAAAACTTTTGGTGAATCCCATTAGTCACCCTTGATTTCTTGAATCTCTTTGGTCAATTAATAATTGAATTACCTTATCATATTTGCAAAAGAATTATTTGCATTACAAGTAAAGTTGATTATTTTAATTTTCTTTTAAAGAAACTAGATAATTATATTATCCCCAACATCATAATATTTAAAATTTCAAATATTTGAGAAATAATTTTCCTCCAAGGACAAACAAAAGGGAAATTTACATTCACCTCCCCTAAACTATGGAGATTTAGGCATCCACCTCCTTAAACTATGACATTTGGCAACCATACTTTCAAATATTTAAAATTTACCACGTTAGACTCTAATAATTCGACAACCACACCCCATCTGTTTTTTTTTTTTTTTTTTTTTTTTTTTGAGTAAATTCAAGTCCATTACAAGGTGAAGTAGGGGAGGGGGGGACTCGAACCCTAGACCATTACCCTATTGATAAAGGCTAGGTACCAAATGTGGAAAATGCACATTTATCATAAATGTCGATGTAGTAGTAGAAAGTAACTTTTGACAAAAAAAAAAAATCGAGAGTGAAAAAACACGAATTTTTAACATGAATTTTGACTGAAAATTTTGTAGTTCTGTTGTTTGATTCGACTCAAATTTTATATTTTTCTTTATAATATCTAAATTTTACAACGAAGACTAATTTTTAATTAAATATTGATTCTTTTTTTACAATACTAACATTTTAATTTTTAGGTATACATAAATATAATAGCCAAAAAACTATTTCATCTATTTCTTTTATTGCCATTGATGGCAAACATATCATTCTAAAACAATATAATTAATAAAAAAAATAGATGAAGGGGGGGAGTTGTTGCCAAACAATCATAATACAAAGGTAGTTGGATGCAAACAATGTAAACATTTGGGGTGTGGATGGCAAATAACCATAGTTCAGTGGATTTAGATGGTAATAATTAGCCAGAAAAAATAATATAAAATTACTGGACAGTGAATTTAGTCCCGCTCCTCCGCAAAAATTGGCCCTGCCTAATCTAAGGCAGAAAGATATCCACTCTGCCCTTTGCCTTAAAACACAGTTGATTCCTTGTACCTCATTTTCAACTTCAAAAAAACTTCTTAGGGCACACTTCTTTTTTACACACACCAAAAAGTATAATCCCACGCAGTCGGAATCCACCAGGTGGGCAATGGGTTCTTGAATTTCACCTTCAAAAAGATTCAATTTTTATTTATTTTTTGGTATGTTTTCGCATCCCCTTTTCGATTTTTCTTGCAACTTAGATTAGATGTTCAAAAGGGTACCTAAAGATTGCATCTTTTTTCTTGCCCTAGAAAGGAAAATTTAAAATTAATTAATTAATTTTTTTTTTCTGCAATTTTACAGAAAAAAATTAAAATGAGGGATTTCCCATCTTGTTTTGGGGAGAATGGAGTTCAAGTTGCTGATTCTTCATGTTCAAGCGTAGGTGTGACAAAAGCTTCGCAGAATTCTGTTAAATGCATTTACAAGTGTAAACTTCTTCATAAATCTTGCTTGATTACCATTCTTTGGAGCAAGAATTTGATGGGCCAATGCCTTAGTATCGAAATAGACGATTCGTCTCATCGTTTGATCTTTAAGGTAGATGTGAAGCCTTCTCTTTTCTCAAAAAGAAAAGGGTCCAAGTATTTCGAAGCGAACTCGGCGAAAATCGAGATCTTTTGGGATCTTTCGTCGGCGAATTTCGGATCCGGGTCGGAGCCTTTGGATTCGTATTACATATGCGTTGTGTGTAAAGGGGAGATGGTTCTGTTAATTGGGGATCTAAGAGAGGAAGCATTCAAGAAAACCGGAGCAATCGGTTCGGTTTCGAGTGAGACGTCGTTCGTTTCCAAAATCGAACACCTCTTTGGGAAAAGGGTTTTTAATACCAAGGCTCGGTTCTGCGATGAAGGACAAATGCACGACGTTAAAATCGAGTGCGGCGACAAAGACTGCGACGAAGATCCGTTTCTTGTGATTCGTATCGATGCGAAGATAGCTATGAAAGTTAAGCATCTCCGTTGGAAATTCCGCGGGAACTCGACGATTTTGGTCGACGGCAATCCGGTTGAAGTGTTTTGGGATGTTCATAATTGGTTGTTTGGTTCTTGTTTAGGCAATGCGGTTTTCATGTTTCAAACGAGTTTATCGAAGGTGGAGAAATTGTGGAGTGGCGATTCGAAGAATTCAAAGAATTTGAAGGAATCGGAATTGTCGGGGTTTGGATTTTCTTTGTTTTTATATGCTTGGAAGAATGAATAGATGTTTGAGATGATTCTTGTTTTGACATTTTTTTTGTGGATGTTTGGTTAATTTTATTTTATTTAGTGTTTTAAGGGATTTAAAATGGTTAATCTTGGCCTTTTGCTTTCTTATATATGCTTGACAATATGTTTCGTTTTCTGATGTCTTCTATCGGAATCTTTGCTCGATTTTTCGGAATCTTTGTTCGATTTTTCGGAATCCCGGATTACGACATTACCGGTTCATGTTAGGGTAAAAAAAATGGTTATTTTAATCTTAATGAAGTTATTATAGTGTGTGTTTATGTTGGAAGATGTCCCAAGGTACTAAATCTTGCCTATGTAGTTAATTAATTGTGATGGCAGTTATTTTAGTATGCATTAATTTCAGTTTATAATATGAAGGAACTTGATGATCACAACAAAGATAGTCTCAATTATTAGTAATGTTTTTTTATAGTTAAAATTATTAATAATGTTTAAACTATGACACATTTTTGTCATAAGAGAAAAATGATTTACCCTTTAAATGGCCCAATAAACAAAGCCCATTTCAGTCATATAAAGTTGCAGTCCTTCGTGAAATTAACAAATAGCTATGACATACAAAATGCAAATTAAATTTACTTAATTAAAAAACAAGAATGAAAAATTCTTAATTAATCCATTATATATAATACAAATTAAATTCAGATAAATAAAAAATAAGAACCAACCATTGTTAATTAACCCATTATATTATATAACTACACTAAGAACCAACAATTCTTAATTAACCCATTATATTATATAACTACACAACCGATGTCGTATTACAAGTTAATCCATTATATTATATAACCACACATCGCATGTGGTATTACATGTTCTCCAACAATAAAGAATATCATCCAAGAATAAGAATACATTAGCGAAAAGAATTCTCCAAGAATTAATAATCAAAGAAAAAACAAACCTAAAAACAACCAATTGGTAGACGAAAAAACAAACAGAAAAACAATTAGTTGGTAAGATGATAAGTCATATAATTTTGTTAACATATAATTTAGTGTAAAAAACTGACTCCAAAAACTTATGTTTCAGGCGAACATTCAATAATCGTAACATACTTCATACTTTCGAGTTGGGTTTCGATCGAGTTAATTCATATTATTTTCTCAAGCCTATAAATACTTTATCAGCTAATTCAAACTATTTTATTGTGTTATTAGGTACCGAAAGAACTTTATCGTTGCTCGTGTTTATATATTATTCAACCTCTAATGTATAGTGATAATTGATTCAAAATAACGATTGAGAGTGACATACAAAAATATTTTAGAAGGCCACGTAAGTATTTAAAAAAAAAAATCAGTCAGTTCTTAGAAATATCTACAACTTAGTGACAATTTTCTACGTATTCTACAACATTCGTCTCTACAAAAAGTGATCGATCTATTTTGAATTTTATCTTTTTTAATTAGTTTTCTTGCTTGACTACCATTTTTTGGAGCAAAAAATTGATGGGCTAATGTGTTCGTATCGAAATAAACGATTCATCTCATCACCTCGTCTTTAATGTAGATGTTACGCCCTCTCGATTCTCAAAAGAGAAAAGGCTGGTCCAAATATTTCAAAGTGAACTCAGCCAAAATCGAAATCTTTTACGATCTTTCATCTGCAAAATTCGCATACGGCTCGGAGCCTTTTAGATTCATATTACACATGCATCGTGTGTAAGGTTTAGATGGTTCTACTAATTGGTGATCTAAGAGAAGAAGCATTCAAGAAAACCGGAACAATCGCTTCACTTTCTAGTGCAACATTCATTTCCAAAATCGAAACGCCTCTTTGCAAAGAGAGTTCTTAGTACAAAGGCTCGATTTTGCGATAACGGTCCAATTCATGACCTTAAAATCGAGCGTGACACACAAATTGCAACGAAGAAGAATTATTCCTTGTGATTTCGTGCGGACGCAAAAATAGCCATGCAAATCAAGAATCTCCGCTCGAGTTTGTCATTGGTGGATAAATTGTGGGGCCCGCCCTTGTTCGATTTCCCGATTACAAGCAAAGCCCGGTTCGGTTAGTTCTTTGTACCATATTCTATTTATTAAATCTTGAATCCTTTTCTAATTACTACATTAACAAGTAATTAATTAAAAACACACACACAAAACAAATGAAACAAATGCTTAATCAATTCATTAATTATATAATTAACCACAAAATTACAGTTTACAATTCATAGACTTGTTTCCCAGTAAATTTAACCTCAATAGGGCTAACGTTTTTGCCAATGGATCTCATATTCAACCCGACTCCGGTTCGACCCGGGTTCACCTTCTCCGGGTAAACTCCGTCTTTCGGGTGGAGATACTGCACTTCACCGTTGGGGAAAACCCTGTAGAACTGGTATTTGATCTTGTACTTTGACCTCAACTTTGTTCCCAGGGCCAAGCACTGCTCTTTTCGGGCCAGCTTCAGCAGATTCGGGCCCTGCCTCATGATGGCGGCGCCGCCCGTCGGCATCTCGAACACCTGCTCCTTCGGCGATTCCCATGTGATGACGTAGAATTCTTCCACCTGGGCCTTTCGAAGGAGCCCGCCGGTGCTGCCGCCGAAGATCGGCGATGGGGTCGTTGGGTCGAGCTCCGGTGGGGTGAACCCCGCCGGAGCTTCGGGCTCCTTCGTTGCCGCCGCCGGCGCATCCTCCGCCATGGCGCGGATGGGGCGGTGTGTGGCGGCGGACTTGATGATGGGCTTGGTGGCGGTGGAGAACTGCGCGAGCGACTGTTTCCACGGCGCGGCGACGCGGTCGGCGGAGATGGTGGCGGCGAAGAGGGTTGCTTGGGTTGCCATTGCCATGGTGGAGATCGGAATATTCCGTTGATTGTGGGGGTGAAGGAGTAGTGTATAGCATTGGTTGTGTGTGTATTTCAGTATTTGTGTGGGGGAAGAATACTCGGATATTTGGATTATTGGATAGGAAGATTTAATTTTGACCAATCAGAATCTCTCATCTGACACGTAGGTGCCACGTGTATTTCGTTTCATATAGACCATTGAAATAGATTTTTCATTTAAGTATCAAATAAAAGAATGCCGTAATCTACACAAAATCAGTACAAACTAGATGAATATTCCATGTAATATAGAAGATTTTGTTGAATTTGGCACCGTTAGAGTGGAGATGTAAGAAGATTCATACTTGAGGTTGGTTGTAATTACTCAAAACAAGAGAGGTTTTTTCGTAATTTGATCATACTTCAGGGGTGACCGCAATCTATTTTATGGGTAAATTACAACCACCCCGAGTTATGGTCAATTTATAAAAAAAACTCTCTTGTTTGGACAATTACATCTACCCCTCAGCTATGATTTTTTCTTACACCTCCACCCTAGTCAAATTCAACTAGATTTCGTGGAATGTGCTCTAGATTGTACTCGTTTTGTATAAAAAACACAGTGTTTGATGCACCACAATCTGATATATACAAGTCAAAAAACACATATTATGATCATTTTGCTTCAAAGTGTGGAGTTCAAAATGGATAAAACGGGTACAAAAGTGATAATATTCCATATAATCTCGAAGATTCCACTAAATTTTAAACTGTAAGGGCGGACGTATAAAAAGATTTATAGTTGAGGGGTGGAAGTAATTAGCCAAACAATAGGATTTTTTTGTAATTTGACCATACCTCAGGGGTGGTTGTAATTTACCTTTTATTTATTGGTTTCTTATAATATATAGTAAATGGGCCTATTCTTTTTACTTTAGTAGTGGGCTTATCCAATTTAAGTTTGATGGGCCGTGGAGTAGTGATGAAATTGCATCTAATTGGCATAGAATCTAATAATGGAATATTACATTATATAGTTTCTGACAGTTATTATAGAATTCATTTATAGTGGGACAAATCACGAGTCCACATGCTTTATCTTAATGTTTAATCTAAAATAAATAAATACATAAATATCCTTCCCTTATAATTGCAAAATCAAAATATATTTATTTTCATTGAATGGCCTACAACACCCATTATTTAATGATAATTGTCTATATTTTTCTTTCACGAAGATAATAATTAATATATGTTAATTGACCGTTTACCTCAATTTTCAAATTGTTTAGCGTGACAGTTCAATAATCTTTAAAGCACGCAATTATGATATCTACAAATCAGTAGCTTTGGCCTAACTTTATTTTCAAGAACCAAATATTGAAAAATAAATATTATAATTTTCATAATTAATTCAAATTCTTTGTATATTACCAATTTAAATATTCCATACTTCCCATAATACACGCTATTTTGAAAATAAATAAATTAAGCCACTTTACAATTAAAATATTGTATTAATTACATAATTTATAGAGCCACCCCTGAGTTATGTTGAAATTGCGAAAAAACCCTTCTGTTTCGATAATTACAACTACCCCTAACTATTTATTATCTTACGATCCTCTCCACAGGTAAATTTAGGTATGTTAAATCGGTAAAATCGAACCAAAATTTTATACCGTTTATCGAACCGAATACACGATTTGGTTTGGTAATTAACTGAATTACATAAAATTTATATAAAGAAAATGAGATTTTTTCGTGATTTTATCATGCCTTAAAACGAGATTACTAATTTATCGAATATTAATTATAATAGGAGAGTTCTTATTATAGGATTTTTATGACATAATAAAATAGAAATTCGTGTTGTCCGTGAGAGAAAAAATTAGATAATAGTAATAAATAAATAAATAAATAAAAACTCGAAGGCATTCTCTCCTCAAACACACCAAAAACTCTGGTGTTTCTAACACGCACACATTCTCGCATCACAACCCTGAGATCTCTCTCCAAAAATCCAATCTTTTCTAATTTGATTTGCTCGCCATCGAGATTTCTGCCCCCCCTTTTCCTCTCCGCTTCTAATTTTGCAGTATTCGATTCACGCAAAAAGAGGGGCGCGTGTGTGTGTGTTTGTGTGTGTGTGTGTGTGTTTGCGTATACTAATTAATATGGGCATGTGAAAGAATATAGGATAATGGCGGCCAAGAAAAAATCAAACTCCAACAAAAGTTCCCGCAACAGGGGCATGTCGATCTCAGGCAAGTTTTTTCTCCTTATTACGAATTTTGAGCTTTCTGATCTGGGTTTTTTTTTGGGGGGGAATTTGAATTAAGTTTTTTTTGTGGATTTGATTTGACGATGGAGAGATTGAATGGGTGTTGACTAATTTGTTCTTTTCCCCTCTTGTTGAGTTGACTAGTTTTCTTGCTGTGTGCATAAATTGTTTGTATGGAGCTGTAGATGTTAAATTAACATGTGCATTGTTCTAATTAGGATGTACTTTATTAGGGATTTTGTGTTTATCCAGAAACCAACACACGCACACACACACACTCTTGTGCGTGTGTGTGTGTGTGTTTATCCAGATAGCTGAGTTTTATGGGTGTTGTTTCAAAAAAATTGTTCTGGAAGTTTGAGGAATCGTGTAGATCGATCCACGCGGGGTGTAACGATAAGGTAATCGCAGATTTGGTCCCTCTGCGAATCGATTCGAGTCCTAATAGCGACAAGCCCATACTATGAGTTGCAAATCGAGATTTTAATTGGTGCCATTTTTTTCCGATTTTCGATATTTTCCCCCCGATTTACTTGTTCACTTTATGTAGTAAGGTTTTAGTCCTCAAATCGCATTATGACCGTCGCTCGATTTCCTTTGGAAAGGAGCTTGAATTCCATACATTTTACAATCATGTGTCGGTTGCTTATTACCGACAAAGTACTATATCAGCTTGTATACTTGAGTTTTAGCAATTTTTGGTCGCCCGGATAACGATTTCCCGATCTCTATTCAAGAATCTTATTCCGTTTTTCTTGTAATTTTCAAAATTTACGCTCTTTTGCAGGACTTCGTTTAAAGCACCAACAAGAATTAGAAAATTTAAGTCTGACCTCACAGCCTTTCAAGACACTAAAACTTTTCGTTCTCGCCGTCGTACAATATCTCAGACGATCATTTGCGTATCTTCTGTCACATGGCGGTTGGCTTATAGTGTTGAGTGCGCTCGTCGCGATTGCTGGAATACTACTCGTTACTGTTGACGGCCCTCATGAGAAGGTAACTAAAACAATCTATTCGGTAATAACATAAGATTGCTTGTAGTAACTAACCGTCGAACAAGTTTTATTTTTTAATTGTTAAAAATCTTCTGATTAAATATTAAATTCAGCATGTCGAGGAAGTACTACATTACATGCGATTCGGATTATGGTGGATGGCTCTTGGTGTTGCATCTTCCATCGGACTAGGTAAGCAAAATTGACTTAATTAACGATCGTGTCCGTTCGATATTCTTGATGGTCTTTACCGTGTGACTAATCCTTGGGAACGATCTTTTCCGATGAAAAAATCTTTAAAGTAATTTTCTTGATTATCGTATTCATTCCGTAGGTTCAGGACTGCACACGTTTGTTCTGTATCTAGGACCTCATATTGCACTGTTCACATTAAAAGCAGTGCAATGTGGTCGAGTAGACATCAAAAGTGCTCTATATGATACGATACAGTTAAAAAGAGCTCCATCTTGGCTCGGCAAAGATTGTGATGAATTCGGGCCGCCTTTATTTCCGTCGTCGCACGGTGTACGTATTCCCCTTAGTAGCTTATTGCCACAGGTCCAGATTGAAGCTATACTATGGGGTCTTGGAACTGCACTCGGCGAACTTCCCCCTTATTTTATTTCAAGGGCAGGTATGTAAATTTTACGTCGACGTTGTTTATTATTTTTGTCTTTTTAAGTCCTTGTTTGGGAATCATGATTAGTCTTGATAGACAATGTAATCAAGCTTTGTCAAATATTTAGAGTTAAGGTTTCAAGTCAAAAAAAAAAAAAAAAAATCGCGCCCGGAAGGATATTATCCAATACAAGGATTCATGGTCACATTATTTTAATCAATCCCATTTACATTCCCAAACGAGACCTAAGTGATATAATTTAATCAATCCCATCCACTATTTAATCAATCCCATCTATATAATATTTTTATTTTTATTTACGATGACCTTATACAGCAAGCTTGTCGGGTGGTAAAGTCGATGCCATGGAGGAACTGGATGCTTCCTCCACAGAAGATACTGGATTTCTATCTTCTCGTCTAAATCGAATCAAGCGCTCGTTTTTGTCACATGCCCAATATTTGAATTTCTTCACAATTTTAGTTCTTGCCTCGGTTGGTTCCCTATACTTCATATTGTTCGATAATTATTTCTCCGCATGGCTTGCATTTTTCCTCGATTTTTCTTCTTTTAATTTAATTAATTTTGAGGTTTTCGGGAATAAATCCGTAGATACCCAATCCTCTATTCGATCTTGCGGGAATTATGTGTGGACAATTTGGAATTCCCTTCTGGAAATTTTTCGTGGCAACCATGATCGGCAAAGCTATAATCAAGACTCACATACAGGTTTGTAACAAATGTAATTTATTTTTTTTCCTTAAATTTGCACGAATTTTCTTGTTAAAATCTCGATGATTTTTCAGACGGTATTTATCATATCCGTGTGCAACAATCAACTACTTCACTGGATGGAGAACGAACTAATTTGGGTTCTTAGCTTTATACCCGGTTTCGACTCTATTCTACCGAATCTCGTCTCCAAGCTTCACTCGATGAAAGACAAGTACTTAGCCACGAAACATCACGTTCCTATAAATACCAAGGTTTCTTGAATTTTCGGGCTCCCGTAAATTATATATCTATTTCAAATTATTTACGCACTTGAAATAATTTTATCGTTTAATTTTGCAGGGAAAGAAATGGGATTTCTCACTTGCGTTTATATGGAATACCGTCGTTTGGTTCATGCTGATGAATTTTTTCGTCAAGATTGTGAATGCAACTGCCGAACGGTATTTAAAGAAACAGCACGATAAGGAAATCGCTGCGTTGAAGAACAAATCGTCGAAGCAGTCCGATGAATCATCTGATACTTCTTCAAGATGAAGTTCGATTTTCGATTTTCGATTTTCGATTTTTTTTGTTCGAAATCAACAATTATTTGCCTTGAATTGTTATGATTAGAAATAGGGGTTAGAATTGTGGGTGTTGACTTTATTTAGTCAACTGCATAGTGCCCCCTAACAAGCCAATGCATTTTTAAAGTCCCCATTCGAAACTTTTAGGTAAAAAAAAAAGAACTGATTAATTTATTTAGTTTAAATTAAATTTGGACTTTTCATTTAATTTTTCCGTATTTTTTTTGATTTTGTTCTACAATATCTGTTAATTTACAATTTCAATGCTCTGTATTAATTACATAATTTTCTATTATATTCTCATCAATTCTCCAACGTTATTTCTGCATTAATTAGTAAATAAGGGTATTTTGGTCTATTAATGTATATTTATCTAAAATCAAAACATATTTATTGAGATTCTTAAAAAAATGTGTCTAAGTTAAAAATCGATACCTGTTTAGAAACAAGAATATGTAACAGTACAAAGAGGATTAAAATTTTATTCTCTTTGATAAGCAACAATTTTGATTACTGGAATAGCATATTCCAATTTTGGAGAAATTTTATAATCCTAATCCAATTCCACTATCCCTATCCAATCAAAGAAATAAAATCCCACCAACCACCAATTTTACTGTAGAATCAAGGTCCAAACTTCAACCCCTGATAATGGGCTGTGGGCCCACAATCACTCTAAATCATAATTAATAGCCAAACTTTTGTAGGGACCATACTTGAAATGGTGGGCCGCCGCAGCATTGAATACAGCCCCTTTAGATATTACTAATAATAATAATAAAATAAAATAAATAAAAAAGTAAAAAAGATAGAAAAAATCACACTAAAAGAAGTAAAAAGCTTCTCAAAAGTTTCCCACTTGTCATCAAAATGTGGGATTTTGAGGACTTTTGCTGACAGCATAAAATAGCTTATAAGTGGGAAAATCCATTACTTATTTCTCCTCTAAATTATAGCTTTTTTTTACGCAGCTTTTCTTGAATAAGCTGTGAAGGTGTTTGAGATGGAAGAAAGAAGAAAAGCTTTTATCAAGAAGTATCACCATCTTCGTCTTTAAGAATGAAGGAGATTATTACCCTAAATAATAGGTTTGAATTAATTTTCATTTTTATTTATTTTTATAATTTTTCTTATCTCAAAGCTGATAAATGATGGGATTTTCATTTTTGTTAATTTTGTAATTTTTTCTTGATTGACCGGTGCTTTTCATTAACAAATTCTCCAACTAACGAAGATCGATTCATGCCTATTCGACGAAACTCGGTTTCACTTCCAATACATTTTTGAGCAATCGTGATGTCGATCTTTACCCGGGGTTCGAGTATTGTAAATGATGCTTTGAAGTTATTCCATGGCATGCCGAGTAAAAACATTGCGATCTCTTGTAAATTATACGTTGAAACATTTCCGTTAAAAAAAATCGATATCCTGACCGCACATCAGATTCTCGACAAAATGTTCGAGAAAAGATGATGGGAGTTGGGATACGATCGTTTCAGGGTATACGATCAAGTGGGATTCCGGATAGTGCACGGGAAATATTTTTAGATATGCAAAATCATTGCATTTGCGGAGTGAATTAAGCGCCTATTATTGAATAATACGAGGGGTTAGACGCAAAATAGTGAAACTACAGGGGAGTCAGGTGCTATTTACCCATATATATCCTAAGTGAAATGCTATTTATGGCTCGTTTCATGGCATATTGCCACTTCAACTATATCAATTTCTTACTAATTTGAAATTCAATGATTTTTCTATTATATTTTTTATTTAAAAAAATAATATTCAAATTATGCTTCGTTCAAATAGATCCATTCATTATTGGCACGTGCTGTCCACCAAGTACAAACTTGGTGCATTCTTTTTTGCCTTTTATAATAAAAGAATACTAGTGCCCCATTTCCCTTTCTTTTTTAAATAAAATTGGATAGTTACATGTATTTCTCGTTTATTTATTAATTTACCCTTTTATCTTAGCCCATTACCCACATTTTCCACATATTCAAGAAAGTAGTGCAAATATGCCCCTACTCATAATTCAAATTTCTTTGCTAATATCATTTAAGTCCATCACATCACACATGGTTCGTTCAATGTAATTTACATATATATCATGGAATTTATAAATTATTGCACGATAACATAATTTATCCAATATACTTCGACCCACTGCGAGTCTTTTATCAAAAAATATTAAAAGAAAAGTAGTATAAATTACATATTTAATATATTAGGGTGGTGGAGGTTAGTGTATTAATTAGTATTGAAATAGGTTTAGTTCAAGAATTAGGTCGCATTACATAGCCGTTAATTAAACTACTAATTAAGTGGTAATTACATCATTCCTTTGTTGACCTATAATATGTGCTACATGCCTTTTACAAGTAAGAACTAACAAACACAAATTGTAAATTATTTATTTTTAATGAATTATGTGGTAAGTGGTAACATAATTTGGTACTTGATTCATAAAATAAAATATGATTGAAAGATAATATAATCATAAATATCGGATTCGAAAAAATCTCATATTATATAATTATTATAATTAGTGTAATCATACCCAATTTAATAAATTAACCAATATGAAGCAGAGACCATTACATATTAGGAAAATATTTAAATATATTTTCGAATTATCTGGATAAAATATTATTCCAAAGTATTTTAAAAAAATGCACGTCATATATATTAATAAGTAAATATTCAATAAATAATCTTGTATACATTATATAATAATTAAAATATTAAATTGAAATATCTATTTTTTAATTTTTTCCCTTTTCTGAATTTAGAATATTTTTAAATACAAAGGGGGAGATATTGACCAGGGAGCAGCATGTAGGTAACGTAACTCAGGTGGGTCCCACACCACGTCACCACCACAACGTGACAATTAGGCTGGGAAAAAAATAATAAAAAATTAAAAAATAATCGTTCTGGAAACCTTCAAAAAATAATATTAATAATACAATAAATAAAATGTAGGAAAATAGAGGTGGTCCCCACTGACTTCTCGGTTGCTCCGTGAGGACCGTGACCGTGACTCCAGCTTATTTTCATCTCACCAAATCTGGACCGCAAGATCTAAATTAAATATCAACGGTCCAGATCGATCCTGTTTCTCCACGCGCCCACCAAACCCGTCTTCCTAATGCTGCCAGCATGGAATTTTTTATAATGCCACTGCCACGTGGTCCGTCATCTGACGGTCTCTATTTCTCTTCATAAATCCGCCAAAGAAATCGTAGCCGTTCAATGCGGGCCCCACATGTCTGTTCTCGAGAAAAGTAACTGCTAGCTCCTACTAATACCCTACTGTACCCCACCACTAATTACTACGACCTACAATTATTACTCATGGAATTGTTTTTTAATTTTTTACTAAAACAATTAATTAATTAAATATGGATAATACTATGTTAATATTTACAAAAAAAGATAAAAAATTAAAATTTGACCAGGGGCAGGATTTGATATTTTATGCTGTCAGCTAGATTCCTTGTAATCAATCGACTTGCTGCTTTTACCAAGGTCACCGTTTGCCACCGGCTATAACCCGTTACCCTTGACATTTTGTACAGGCTAAAGAAAGTTATTTTACTTATTTACTTTACTTTAGTTTTTGTAATAATTAATTATTTTATTATTTTATAATCAAATATTTTTAATTAATTAAGGTACATAAAAAAATAATTTTGTTTAGAAACTACATTGTTTTCATGTTGTGAATGAAGATATTGTCGTGTTTCACTTAATTAAAATTGTTATATTGCAAAGTCTAATATAATATTCATAATTTTTTAGAGATTCTAACACCCAATTAAAATTATGAAAATAATTTTTTATTTGCATTATTAAAACTTTATTAAAAAAATGAGACACTTTGCCCCACTAGTGCTCCGTTGTTAAAAAATAAATACTTTTATTTATCCAAATATACTACCTTCAATATATGGAATTAAATAAGACTTTTCCCCTATTTTATTATTATATTATATTATAAACAATAAATAGAAACACGAAAGCTTGATGAGGAAGGTAAAACCGACACGTGTCGGTAAAACACGATTTTCGGAAGCAGTGTTGGTTTCTACGAACGGCAGAAAATACTGCCATGTAGGCAAATTAGGATTTCTGGCCGTTGGATGAATTGGAAATCGTAGGGCTGAGATTGATTTGGTGACGAAGCAAATGCATCTGAGGTTTCCACGAGGGGCTTTTGTAGACGTGAAATAGCCCCAACAGATGATGAGATTTGAGGGAAAAAGGGTTCAGTTTTAGAGAGAGAAAGTGAGAAGAGAGATAGAGAGGAGAGAGAAAGCAAACAACAGCTACAGAAGCTGAAAGAGAAAAGATACACAGAGTGGGGGGATTTGCACCTCAGTCGGAAGAAAACATCATTCAATAAAATTTGCTGTTTTACACACCGGAGTTGCAGTGAATTTTTTTTTTTCAATTTGATTTCTGTGTGAATTATGCAGTAATTGGCCGCTGATGAGATATAGGATTGATTATATTCATCTGGTTCAAGCTCGGATTCCGATTAGAAAGCGTGGAAAATTCATCAATGGAGAGAAACAGAGAAGCCAGAAGAGCTAGTATTGTTGGCTCTAATGGCTTCAACAGAAGGAGGCATCGAACAAACAGTCTCCGAGACTCTCCGGGTAAATGAAATTCGATTTCGCACAGATCTGATTTGATTTTCAATGAGAAATGGATTGATTCCTCTTTTCGTTATTTTTTAGGTTTTGATTCAATTTTTTTTTTGTTTCCTGTGATTTGCAGATGAAGACGGAGGAGTGGAGTTGCAGGAATCTGTAAGGTTAAGGGAGAGAGTGAAGAAGGATCGAGATCGAGAGAGGGAGAGAGAAAGAGATTTAAGAGAGCGGTCAAGTAGGAGTAGTAAGAGGAGAAGAGCTGATAGATTGATGAACAGAGAGAATATCGGAGGAGATTATACTTCGGAAGAGAGTGTCGACGATGACGACGACGAAGATGAAGAACTCGCCGCCGCCACCACCACCGTCGCCGCCGCTGCCGCCACCGCCAGCAGATTGTTGCATCCGGTGGGGGGTTCCGTTTCCAACCACCACCAGCACCACCACCGCAACAGCCATATCAGTAGTTTTGGTCAACAGCCAAATAGTAATACCACTAATATTATTGGTAGTAATCACCATCTTCAACCAAGGAAAAGCTTCCCTCCTGGTCCACCTCCTCCTCCTTCTTCTAAGGTTTTCAGAGCAACCCCTATCTGGACACCAGGCGACGAGATTATCAGTGTTTCTGTTCCTAGAAAAGCCCGCTCTGGTAAAATCCATTTTCTTGATTGTGTGGTTCTTCATTAATATTTGACTTTTCTGATTTTCTTAATTTTTTTATTTTATTTGGGTTTTTTCAGCAAGTACAAAGAGGTCGCATGATTGGATGTCTAGCAGCAGTAATATCAACGGCGGCGGCGGTGGTGGTGGAGCTGCTGGAGGAGAGCAGATTTTCCGTCAAGCATCAAGTTCTCCGGTGAGACAAGGCCTCGTTTCAACAGCGACCCCACCGCAGGCCGCCCCAATGTCTCCGTCGTCTTCAAATGCTGTGTTCAGAAAGAAACTTGTTCGTATTTAAGAAGACTCTTCAATTGCTTCCGTTTTTTTTTTTTTTTTAATGTTTATTATTGACTTTGGTTGTCTCTTGCGCAGAAGCACTGTGGAAACAACGGCGGACATAAACTAAAGCCACCGAAATCATCATCGAAGCAGCAGAGTTCTTCGAATCCTGAAGAGCTAGAGATCGAAATTGCTGAGGTGTTATATGGTTTGATGACGCAGTCACAGGGTCCTTCTTCAAAGAACGAGGATTCGAGAGAAATTAATAGATCCAGCAGTGATGCTCCGATCTCAAATTCTCCTTCGGCGAATAATCAGATTTTGGAACCTAATTCTAGCCCCCTTCAATCTGTCGGTAAGTGTTATTTTGGCTTGATGGGATTTCATCTCCATTTTCGATTTAAGTTTGTGGAATGAATCATGGATTCCACTTTCTTCTTTCTTTTTGCAGCTCCAAAGAGAAAGAAGCTGAGACAAGTACCGGAGAATTCGAGCTATGGTCCTCGGAGCAGCCCAATTTCCGCCAAACTAGAGATGGATCAGACGGCAAAGAGTGAGATTTCATTTCCCAAATTGGAGAAAATCTCCGGATCTAAAATTGAAAACGGGTCTGTAGTCGAGGGCTGTTCGGGCAATTCACTGGGGAAGCCGGTGCAGCCAACTGAGCCGACAGAATCAGATTCCATGAAAATTGATTCAGAGTTCAAGCCTGTGGCTGAAGAATTGAGGGAAAGCAGAAATTTGGTTGCAAAGGAAGATGTGAGCTCACCAAGTAAGAAAGAATCTCCTATAGTGAGATATGAAGATAGTATCTGCATGGAATCGGCGTTGATTGCGACAGCTTCAGTTGCTGCTACAATGATTAAACAGTGAGTTCGCAAAGATTTGATGTTTTGAGAGTGCCAACATTTCTTTTTTTTTTTTTTTGAAGTTTTCATCTGGGCTAATCTTCTGAATGTTCCTCTGTTTTTTTTTTCCGACTTCAGGAACCCGATGGTTTCTAATGTTGAAACTCAGAGGGAAAATAAGTTCGAGATCGATCTGATGGTGAGTTTTTCGAGTTTTTCCGTCTTAATCGTCATATATATATATATATATATATATATATATATATATATATATATATATATATATATATATATATATATATATATATATATATATATATATATATATATATATATATATATAATTTTTTTCGCCCGTTAGATGGTTTTTTTTTTTGTTGGATTGTGATTTCTTGATCCAAGTATTTTGAACCACGTTTCAGGCTCCGCCTCAACAAACAAGATCATCTCCAGAAAGGGTAGCCAAGATTCGTTCTAGGGCTGCAGCTGTGGACCAGAAGCCGGTTCTATCTACTGTTGATGCAGTATGTACATGGATGAATTTTTCAGAATCTTTAGATCCCATTATTTGCTTCGTAGATGGGGCGGTATTTTTGATATTTTTATTTCATGCAGGAGTTGAAACCGGTGGTTCCGAAAGATAAAGAAGACGAGAAGGAGAAGAGTGCAAAAGAGCACTCGGCAAATGTGGCAGCTGTAGTAGAAAGGAAAGGTGAAGAAGCGACTGAATCGAAGAAGGAAATTGGCCTACAGTTCGATTTGGAAAAGCCTGAAAGAATTTTGGACGCAGCTGTAGTTAATGGAACTGCAAACAAGTTGCAACAGCAGACTAAAAAAGAACAACAGCATGAAGTTCCACTACTAAAGGCAAACAAAGAAGAGCCACTCGATGAGAAATCTTGTAAGTATATTATTTTCATCATCACTTTCTTGATGGGTAACCAAATTTTCGTTGGATTTGGTTGCTAATTTTGTGGGCTTATTTAGGTCAACCAAAGATTTCCTTGCCTTTGCCTATGGTTAGTTGGCCTGGTGGACTTCCTCCCATGGGGTACGAAACGGTTGCATATCGTGTTTCTATGATCCTCGTTTTTTCAATCGAATTTATAAGTATCAGATCTGTTATTAAGCTCTGATTTTTGGCAAAATAATAACATTTTTTAATTGTCAGCAGATACATGGCAGCACCTTTGCAAGGAGTTGTCTCTATGGATGGCAGCAGTATGGCACCAGCACCTATCCCAGTATGTTCTTGTTCTTGTTCTTCTTCTTCTTCCTGTGAATCTGTTTTCTTTATCTCTGATTGTACAAATTTTCTTTTGTGCAGTCAGTATTTTCTCAACCCCGGTCGAAAAGGTGTGCTACACATTGTTACATTGCTAGGAACATACACTGCCTTCAGCAAATCATGAAAATAAACCCCTTTTGGCAAGCAACTGCTGGCTCTGCATCGTCTTTGTTCGGCCCAAAACCTCCCATTCTTAATGTGGCTCCGTCAGATTCGCACGAAAATGCGGCTGTTAGAGGTTCTAATACTCCACAAGATAAGGGACAACACACTGTTTCCAACAGTCCTAATCATGCAGTGAAGGACAGCAAAGCTTCTCAAACTGCTGTTATTTCCGATTCTGCAAAACGAAATCAGCACATTCTGATGCAGCAACAATTGCCCCCTGTAGCACCTAGTAATCTAATGGTATGCTTTCTTTGCTTCCCTTATATCACTTCAATTTAAAAAAAAAAAAAAAACTTGGGAGTGATATTTAGTTAATTGCGTGAGTTTCGTATGTCAACAGGGGCCTACTTTCATCTTTCCTTTGAACCATCAACAAGCAGCAATGGCTGCTGCTTCTGCTCGGCTTAGTTCTGCCGCTTCATCAAACATCGCCACCTCTGCCGGTGCAAGTGCTTCAGCGGCGGCGGCGGCAGCCACTGCTATGAGCTTCAATGGGTACCCTACTATGGCTGCCAATGAAACACAGTACTTGGCCATTCTGCAGAACAACAATGGCTACCCTTTCCCTATGCCACCGAATTACAGGGGAACCCAACCAACTGCTCAAGGAGCTATGCCTTTGTTCAACGGTTCCTTCTATCCTTCCCAAATGATTCATCCATCTCAACTTCATCATCCCCAGCAAAATGCAAGTGGCGGCGTAAATGGTGGACCCCAAAAACAAAAATCTCATCCACCTCAGCAATTACAACATCCATCACGATCGAGGCAATCTGAAAGTGAAGTCGGATGTGAAGATTCTACTACTCAGCCGACGGCATCTGATAGCAGCAGGGGGGCCAGGGCCCCCATGAATATCTATGGCCAGAATTTCGTGATGCCTATGATGAATCCGCAGAATTTTGCCTTGATGAATCCACAAGCTGCTTTTGCTAATGCTTCTTCGTCTTCTCCTGGCAATGAGAAGAAGTCTCAACAGCAGCAAAGCTTTGCAATGTCGTTTGGTCCTATTAACAGTACTGGCACAGGTCCAGCTATGGATATGTCGTCAATGGCTCAAAATCACGCGATCTTCCAGAGTTTTCCAGAATCTACCAGGCAGAATATTCAGACAATGTTTGCTGCCGCTGCTGCTCAGGCTGCACAGAAGAACAACTTCAGAATGTCCGACGATGATAACAAAACTACTGATGCTGAAAGAAAGAGTTCGGCCACCCCAAAGGCGGCTCATAGTGGTGGAGGGCAATCAATTGCCTTCACTAGATCAGACTTAGCCGATTCGCCTGCTTCTTCTGTTCAGACCAACGGTGTAATGGAAAGTTCTGGAAGATCGATAAACGGAACATCTGGCCCTTCTCGAAGCTCTCGACCTGTTACACCCAATGCGCATCTTCAGCAGCAAAATGGTGTTAATCGGAGCAAGACTAATCAAATGTCAGAGCACTTGAATTCATCTTCTACAACGGCCCCTAAATTTCCGAATCCACTATCTGGATACCCACAAGACCTCGCCCAGAAAATGATGGGCAGCGGCCCATCTGTATCACCCTTGTGGAAAAATTCGACAAGAACTACACCAACTTCCCAAGCCTCGTCAACAGCAGCAAACACAACTCTCAAGAACCTCCCTCGAACGACAACACAAATGCACACTCAAATATCGTTTGGTGTAAATCAGAAACCAGCAACGACTACTTCTTCGCATGGGGGGCAAGCGCCTCCTCCTTGTAGCAACCAGTCTCCGTCGGCCTCTATTAGTGCCAGCCCAAGAACTTCCTCTGCTTCCACCAACACCAAAATGGGCCATCAAACCCCATCTTTGTCGAAAAACTCGCCTTCGATCACCAACCAAAAGTCTCCATCAATTCTTGGAAACCCTTCAGTGCCACATCAGCAACAGCAGCAACCACCAAAGACTATGCAACAAGCACAATTATATTTCACAAATCCATATTCTCAAGCTCAAGTTCAAGCCCAATCTACTCATTCGACCGCTACGAATTCCCACTCTTCTGGCCCGAGCGGATTTTATATGCAGCGAAAAAGGCAAGATAATACGAGCACGAACGATCCAGCGAAGGCGATTGCTGCAGCAACTAGTAACGGGAAAGGTGGCGGTGGATTGTTATCTTCGCAGGGCATTGTCCAAGCGGCTCAATTTGCTGCACAGCCGGCTGGAACAACGACAACCCTCTTGCCTAATGGTTTTACTTACGCACACCCCATTCCAGCTGCTGTTCAGGTGAAACCTGCAGAGCAGAAACAAACCGCTGGTTAGTATTTGAAAGCTCGTTTTTTAATCTGTCCATACTTACATTGCGTTAACATTATGAATTTATGAAGACAATTACTATTTGTTTGACCAGGAAATGATAATGTACATCCATGGCAGCCTGAGAAGAAATGAAGGACTACTCTGTCAATACTTGACTTCCTTCGAAGAGGGAAAAATCCTCCGACGATGACACACACAGACGCACCGAATGTGGGGAATGAGAAACCCAAGTTTTGGAAGAAAGCACGAGGGCCGGGGTGAAGGGAGAAAGATTGTGCCTTCATCAGATTTCACCATCGAGAAGAATTAGACAAGATTCGATCGGTGAATCCCCCGTTAGCGAAGCGCGGCTAGCAAAGAGGAAGTTTAGAACTTAGACGAAAAAAGGGTGAATGAAGATTAGAGATATTGGGTTGTGTTTGTTTTGTTTCTTTCATCTCTTGTATCTTTCTTCTTGCCCCGGGAAAAATTAGACTTCCCTGGAAAAAAAAAAAAAAAAAAAAAGAAAAGGCATCACTTTCTGGACATATATCTGTGTAGTAGAGAGGGTGTGTGTATAATGTAAAAGAGTAGAGCCCTCTTTAAAAGCTGGATCTTTTATCATCATTCTTTAATTTTTTTTTTTTGGTTTTGTCTGAATCCAGTTAGAGAGAGAAAATGGGGTGGGTATGGGCCCCACACTAAATAATTTTAATAAAAAGAAAGTAATTAAAATTAGAAATATTAAATTTTGGTTGACAAAAAAAGCAAACCTTGTCGAAAAGGGCTTTCTCCTCTTTTGATTGTCTTTATCTCACACGTGGCCCATGTCTACTTCACAGATATCAACCTCTATCGTTTCTTTATATATTAAATAAATATAAATTATTATTAATTTTATTTAAAGATCTCTGGTTTGACTCATTAGTGGGTCCCACTAAAATTCCAAATATTATATTTATAGGTTTGGGCCTGGGCTTCCAGAAGGTCACCCACCTACATGTGTCCCAAGATTAAAGATGGAATTATTATTTTCTTTCTAGATTTAAATTAATGTTTATATAATTCAATATTTTAATTAAAAAAAAAAATAGGCAGTAATTAGATGCGAGCATCCACATCGTTAGTGGTTGGACACGTGGACTTTGGAAACCGACTTTATCACAGTGCTGAAGTGGGACCCACTCATGAGACATGGGGTCCACATTTGTTCGGCTTTTGTCGCTTCTGAGATGTATCATTTCAAAATCTTGCCCCACCAACGTAATCCGCAACTACGTGACGTCATTTATCTTACGTGGCGCTATTATTAATTTTTTTTTCTGTAATACATACTTCAGATTTGAGTAACAACATGTTAGCTGTATAATTTAATTGAATATATTTATTTATTAAATTGTTTTTTTTAATATATTATCTATGACTTTAATTTCGGGGAATCCAAGAATTGATACTTTATCATATGATTAAATAATTAAACTATATATTTGAGTTCTAGAATGATGTTAAAAAAATATTTGACATTTTAGTGATTTTTACTGAAAACTGTGTGCTATAGTATACAATTTTTAGAAAAAAAATTGACGAATGAAAAGTTAGTGAAATAGTTTTCAGATGGACTATATCTTGATTACTTATGAATGAACATCTTCTATACTATATATTAGAGTGCTAAAATGATATTAAAAAAAGATTTTGTATTTCAGCACTTTTTACAAAAAATCGTGTGCTATAGTATACAATTTTTTGAGATTTTCTTGACAAATCAAAATTTAGTTAAAAATAGTTTATATGACCTATTCCTTGACTACCTATGAATAAACATCTTCTACACAAACACATTTGAGTGCTAAAATGTTATTAAAAATGATTTAACATTTCAGCGATTTTTACTGAAAAATTGTGTGCTATATAGTATACGATTTTTTGAATTTTTTTTTGACGAATCAAAAGTTGGTTAAATATTTTTTGACGAACTACTTATTGACTACCTATGAATAAATATCTTTAATCCCATATATCTGAATGCTAAAATGATATTAAAAAATATTTAACATTTCAGTGATTTTTACTGAAAAACTGTGTGCTATAGTATACAATTTTTTGAGATTTTCTCGACGAATCAAAAGTTAGTGAAATATTTTTTATATGAACTATATATCAACTACCTATGAGTAAATATCTTTAATACTATTTATTTGAGTGCTAAAATGATATTAAAAAGAGATATTAACATTTCATCAATTTTCATCAAAAATTGAGATTTTGTAAAATATTGAGGAAGTAGTAAATAAACTATTTATTGATTACTTATAAACAAACATTTTGTATACTAAAAAATGTATTTGATTCATTGGGCTATTCTAGTCTTTTATATTTATCTTGAAGGCCCAATTTTGATTTACCAGAAGGCCCAAAAGCCCAAAGTGCCAAGATTATTTATTAATTATAAAAACTAAGACAAGAATGAATGAATGAATGAATGAAAGAAGAGTTCAAAAGATGGGCACAGATGTTGAAAAGAGAGGTTTGTTAGTTTTATTATGTAATATATTGATTTTATTGAGTTCAGTTTCAGATGGAGGAGCTGTTTACAAAGTTGGTGATTCAGCTGGTTGGACCACCATTGCTAATGTTGATTACACCCACTGGGCTCTTACAAAAACCTTTCAACTTGGCGATACTATAGGTATATACATACACATTTGTATATGTATACATACATCTCTCTCTCTCTCTCTCTCTCTCTCTCTCTCTCTCTCTCTCTCCATGCAAGTTTTCTTTGCAGGGAAATTACTTGTGTTGTTGCTCTGTTTGATGTAATTATGGCAAATTTGAATTTGAAGATATTGCTTGTAAACGAGGGCTTCTTTTAAACTGTTTTTACCTTTTGGCTCTTCGAATGCAAATTCCCAATATTACAGGGACCATATTATAAATAGGAAAATTTCATGTCACATTTCACACTGATTTTTCTTGATAAGTGACACGTGGATTCCAAGTGTCAAGTCGGGAAGGGAAGTGAGGTGGAGTGACACATCAGCAATCATGATTGAGTCAAAGAATAGAAGCTTATCTATACCGGATGAGCCTCACTAGTTTTCACTTTTCACTCACTTATTATATCTTTACCATAGTATCGATCCATACATATTTTACACCGAGTATGCAAATATATATACGTATGTGTGTGTGATTGTGTGTAATAATAATTAAATCTCCAAAACTGATGTCACCATTAATGTGGTAATTAATACGGTTTTTAAACAAACTACATGAATTATTGTTATTATTTATTTCAGTTTTCGAGTACAACCCTAAGTTTCACAACGTGATGCAAGTTACGCACGCCGATTACAAGGCGTGCAACGCCACGTCACCTATCTCAACTCGCACCAGTGGGAATGACTCGATTACAATCGATACTCACGGCCACCACTTCTTCCTGTGTGGAGTTCCCGGGCACTGCCAGGCTGGACAAAAAGTCGATATCAATGTTGTTCTTCATCGTGTACCAGAAGAAGCAGCACCCACCCCCTCTCCAGTTCCTACAGTAGTGCCTGCATTTTCTCCTAGTACTGCAGCTCTCAGTATGCCTTTTCATAAGTTTGGATGGTTCTTGATTCTGGTTTTGCAGCTAATGTATATTTGTGGATTTTATTGAAAAATAGAGTTTTTTTTTTCTTCTCTGTTTCTCTTTATTAGAGAGAAATAAAATAAAACGAGATCGTGCTTTTCGTGACAGCAGTTTTCTTGATAGGAAAAGGATGAGTATATACATATTTTGGGTTGAAATATTGCTGCATTTTTTCTTGAGATTCTACGTAATTTAGGTTATCCTATTTCTGCCGTATTAACTGTTCAAATCTACTTATTCGAAATTACGACTCACTATCACAATGTACAAAGCCCAGTCACTAATCAGTAATACATTTTTTGCTCATACTAAATGATATATAATTACACCATAAAGAATGTGATACTAGGTGTGTTTTGCCCAATCCCATGATCTTCTTTAACACATACTACACACAGTTCCTATAAACCTAAGACGAAAATCCCAGATGGTAAGAAGAATCGACTCTCGTGTTTAAAAGAATAGAGGAAGCTGAATGAGAAAAAACCTTCTTCAGTGGCAATCAGAGCTATATAAGACCATCGAGCAGTGGTTGTTCAGCATTTGTTTTCCTCCTAGATACTCTTCTGTCACCTAGATTATCCCTGCCGAAAATCAAAAGGGGGATTTTGATTATCGAGACGAGATTTACTGGCCTTCGTTTCCCATCAGCAATTTAATTATCGGAAAACGTTATTTGCTAGGGGGATGCAAAACTAAATTATGTAACTGTAAACGCATAGATTGACCGACTATCCAGATTCTAACCAAAAACCAATTTGACGACATGATTATCGAAGCAATATTCGGTATAGTACTTAGTTTTGTTTCATATCAAAACCTAATTAGCATCCAAATATAATTAATTCTTCGCAATGTGCTGTAGAGACCTTACACTAGTGGATTGAAGCTCTACAGCGGCTGCATCTTCATTATCCTGCAAAGTAGGAGAACATTTTAATTATTAATCACCACACAGAATTACCATACGTTCATAACAGAATTTCAGACCGAGTTGTGTAATTTTAAGTACCTCGATTAATAAATCCTTCCTTGTAATCATTCCAATAACACGAGAAGCACGCGGAACAACAAGTATATGCCTCAATCCTAATTGCCGGAATAGATTATATACCTGGATAATATTGTAATATTATTTGAAGCTTGATTATGTATGTGCTAAGAAATTTATAAAACGATGAGCTGGAATTTTCACCTTTGTTAAAGACATATCTTCGGGAACAACATAAGGAGAAGGGTTTAAAAACGGAGCAAGGTCGATGTACATTTCCATATCATCAGGGGTAAGGTATATGTCATCTATCGATATTCCCTTACTAGAAACAGGCTTCACAAATTCAGTGAGATTGTGCCTGCAAATATAAATGACCGATGAATTATTATTAGCCTGTTACTTGTGCAATCAAATTTAATAGGTAGGCTAAAGCTATTTTTGCTTCCTTTTACCTGATTGGCACAGGTGCATCTCTTGAATTAAAGGGTACTGGACTGTGTTGAAAATCGACCTTTGACTGCAAAAGTACTAGCAAATGACTGCAATAATGAAACAATGTTTTTATTGGTTCTACGTATGTAAGAAAAAAATGGGATGTAATTACAGTATTAAAACGAAGTTTGAGTATTAACCTTCTCAATATAAGGCCAATAACAAGTGTTTCTCCACTTCTTGTTTGATCAATGACCTGGAAGGCAAAGGGCGACAAAAATATTGAAAAAGAGCTCAAACAGATAAGAACTAGAGAAAAAGTAACACTTGAACTTACAGGAAAACCGTTGTGATTTTTGGTCCTTAAAATAGAGAGAACATCGACAACTTTCACAACACGGGGGAAATAAACAACCTATAGAAGATGTAGGAAGAACATTCAGTGAATTGAAAACCTTCGAAGGCAATCAAAAAAGATAAAAATGAATAAGTAGGAAGAAAAGACATTTAACAAATTGGGCAATGTCGAAATTACCACCAACCTGTTGATTTCCAGAAGCCTCTCTTGCGGTCATATTCCGCATTTGGTATTTAGGTCTTGATTCAAGTAAAGGAATGCCCCTTAATCGAGCCTGCTCTTCATACAGTCCTTCATTGAAAGCATCCCCAACAGCCTGCAGATACAACCCTTTGAAACTTTAAACAATGCAACAGCAGCAGAAGAAAAAATATAGGTGGTGACATTTTACAAATTTTAGAAGGCAACTTTATACAAGAGTTTACTGGATTTATCGTGAAAATAAGTTTTATTTCAAGTGTGTGGTGTGTGTGTGTGTGTGTGTGTCTATATATATATATATATATATATATATCACAACTGAAAATACACAGAAACAGCTGATTCAGTAGTGGATAATTTCCATTTCCCTTTCTGGTAGATGTGGAATGAGGCAACTTTAAAAACCAAATAAACTACACTGTCTCACTAGGTAGTTTTTTTTTTTTCGCTT